CCACATATGGAATGTTGCTGAGCTTTGCATATTTTCCTTGCATTAATGTGCAGATATTTATTATATACATGATTTTTTGTTACCAAAAATAATTATTCTAACAAGATATATGTAGGGTCTTCTTTTCATTTTTTCCATGCCATCCCCCATTTGACCTCCCATCTCATCCATCCCATCCCACCATCCATCCCATTCCCATTTCATCTCATCTCATCCTTCTACACGATTCATCCTATCCCCTACCATCTAATCCCATCCTCCATCCCATTCTTTCATTCATCCCACACCATACTCATTCCATCCATCCTATTACACCTCATCTGTATCCTTCTACTCCATGCATTCCATCTCACCACATCAATTCCAGTCCACCCATCCCATCTATTCATCTCATCTCATCCCATACCCATCCAAATTCATGTCCATTCTATCCCCATTCCATCCTAATCCATGCCCATCCCATCCCATCCCATCCCCATTCTATCCCATCCCATCCCACCCCATGCCCATCCCATCCTATCCCAACCCATGCCCATCCCATCCTATCCCAACCCATGCCCATCCCATCCTATCCCATCCCATCCCATCCCATCCCCATTCTATCCCATCCTATTGCATCCCATTCCCATCCCATCCCAACCCATGCCCATTCCATCCCCATCCTCCCTCATCCCTATCCTCATTTTATGCCATCCCATCCCATTCCATCCCATCCCATTCCATCCCATCCCATGCCCATTCCATCCCCATCTCTATCCGTACTCCATCCATCCCTCCCATCCAATTTCTTAATAGCACCCATTTGTTTCCATGCTTTCCCTTGGTTTCAGGGAGATCACTGTCTCAGCATATTTCCCAGCCCTCCCTACTTTCTAGACTTTCCTTCCTGGCCCACAGGGAATTGCGTAGGTTTTTCTATGAAGAAACTCCTAGCACAGTGCTAGGCTTATGTCAACACCTGGCTTCAAAATCCTGCGTCAAGGACTTAGCTTCACTTTCTGCCCACTTTGGAGCTGGCTGGATATGAAGCTGGCTGTGCTCTGTGACGGCCTGCTGGGGCGCTGACGCTCAGCATTAGCAGGGAGACCTATTATTAGGCACATTTCAAACAACGTACGTAGATCCTGTTTAATGCTGAGCCCTCAGAACCCCACTGTAACCAGAATGCCTGATGCTTCTGCTGGCAACAGAACTCCATGGAGGCAGCTGTGTGCCCCCACCAGGCAAGGGCTGGGGCACGGGAGGGGCATTCATTACACAGCTCAGTTTCTGACCCCTTTGTGACATCCTCTGCAGGTGTTTTATCCAGCGTGGGATAAACTCTTGGTGATGTGTTACTGGTCACAGTTTGTGACAGCCTGGTGACCCGGGGAGCTCCATGGTCTGTCTTCTGCTCAGGAGTGAATGGGCTGGGACCAGCATGAACCGGTGACTGCCTTTGTTCCATATTTCAGACTTGACAGTTCTTCCTGCTGAGCTGGACCAGCCTTCATCCATCCTGGAGTAGACTGGCCTCACCTATATCACCTTGTCTCAAGAGATGTGCCCACAAAGCTGAGAGTCTAACGCCATTTCCAGCATCTCATGCACAAACTCACCCTTGTTCGTTCTTTTCTTTCTTTCTTTTTCTTTTTTTTTTTTGTGTGTGTAATTAGGAAATGACACCAAGAAACAATGTGCACTGAGCTACACACTGCACTGTGTAAGAATTCTCACTGTCCTGCAGGATTTCTCAGGTTGGCAGCAAGATCCGCCTCTGTTTCTCTCTCTCTCTCTCTCTCTCTCTCTCTCTCTCTCTCTCTCTCTCTCTCTCCTTCCTTCCTTCCTTCCTTCCTTCCTTCCTTCCTTCCTTCTTTCTTTCTTTCTTTCTTTCTTTCTTT